GGTGTCCTACTTGAGTGTAGCAGTGAGAAATGAACCTTTCTAATGTTCGGGTTTAGGGTGGCCTCCCGTTGGTGACAGTCATGTTCAGGTTTGGACTGGTTCAGTGGTTACTGTAAAGCCTCAAAACTTGATGACTTAAGTTTTAAAGATTGCCACTCACCCTTATAGTAGAGTTGAGAGACCTGTTCTTTCAGGTGAGTCTGCCATTTCCAAGATTCTGCCCAGTGTCTACATTATCAGTAGTGACTGTTTGAGGACCATGTACTTCATGAATCTTGAATATTGATTGAAGATTTATTTTATGTATGAGTACCCTATCTGCATGTACAACTTTTATACTATAAGAGGGCATTGGATCCCACTATAGTTGGTTCTGAGCCATCATGTGGTTGCTGGGAATAGAACTCAGGACCTCTGAAAGAGCAGCCAGTGCTCTTACTTAACTGCTGAGCCATCTCTCAAGCTCCATCCACCCCCCCCACCCCCCCACCCCACCCCCCAGTTGGTGAGTTTATAAATGCTCCATCAAAAGAAACTCAAGGCAAGCATATTACTCACTGGGCTTGAAACAAGGTCCACAGCAGCTGTTCTGACACAGGGCGGAGTGTGGATTCCTGTTCTCCAGTGGTTCCTAGTCTGGAACCTGGAGAAATTTCAGCTGTGAACTCCATAGCTTTTTAAGGTAGTCAGAGCTCTTGTGGAGCAGAGTCTATTTTTGCTCTCAGATTCTTTCCAACTTTGCAGCAACTTAGTGTTCCCTGGGTCAGAGAATTTTCAGTGGTCTGTATTGTTTCAGCTCTACAGACTTGAAGTCTAAAATGGAATTTGATTTAACTTTATTTAAAATAAATTTACAGGCTCTTGACTGCTGAGCAGTTAAATATTGAGTGCTGAAAAATGAAACTGATAGGAGAGGTCTTTTTTCTCTCCAATCTTTTCTTAAAAGAACCAGACAGGCCCTGCCTGGCGTTTCTTCTGAGATGAAAGCCTTCAGGCTGGGATGGGTAGGCCTGGACAACCAGCCTTTTTGTTGGGGAAGCATAGTGACTCTCCAGACTCCAGTGTTTGGCCTGCGACAAGACTGGCCTTGGTGTCTCAGGGCACAGAGGCCTCAGGTGAGTCCACACAGTGGTCCAGACTGCAGGGGGGGGTCTGCCGTAATGCTGTCGGCCTCTTCTGTGACCCTGTGGAGTTGGGCTTAAGAAGCCATGAAGGGCCCATAGGTTGTGCCAGGTGTCTGTGGCACAGATCCTTGCACTCAAGCCACCAGAATTTGTAAAGGACTTTACTCTTCCGTCACACCTCACAGGTGAAGAAGTAAACACAGCAGAGAACTAAAGTCGTAATCCTATTTCAGCGAGGTTTAGGGCTAAATTTTAACAAGTCACCTGGATCTTGTGAATGTAGGTTCTTAGGCTCTGCTCAACATATTGTCAAACCCCACATATTGTGGCTTAAAAACCAGCACAGGTGATGTTTCTGGTAGAAAAGGCTCAGACTCTGCCCAGGTTGGAGCCAGCAACTTCACTACAGCTACAGAATCGTTTCCTTTGTTTTCAGTTACAGCACACGGTTGATTTCTAAATCAGTTTCCAGCTTTGTTTGAGAGACTTAGATACGTTGGGTATATTCAGATACTGGTTGAATAAATAGGAAGCTTCCAGTGTTGCCCTCTGATAATTGGGCAAGCACTGAATGGACTCAGTAGGTATTTAAAAAATACTAACGGATGAGAGCACATGAAGATGGGAAGGAAAAGTTGTGGGAGGATGGGGAGGAGTTGGAGGCAGTGGGGGATGAATGGACTCAAACATTATATGAATGGTAAACTTTAAATAAACTATTTTAAAAAGAAAAGCTTGGTTGTTGGTTAAAAGAAACTTAGATGTCAGCATTATTGTAGACTAGAGAGGTACTGGAGTCTGTTTTTCTAGTTCTTCCTTGATGATATTTGAACATTATTTTCCACTTCTTGCAAAGATTAGAAAGTACTACCAAAGCATTGATTCTTAAAAATATAATAAGTGTGCATGTGTAATAAGAATGTAATATAGTATAGTATATAGTTTTTGTTAGTTTTTTATTCAGTATTAATTTTCTGGCTGCCACTGTATTAAAGTGTGCTGTTCATTAAAGGAATTGCATTTATAAGAAAAATGTGTGGATTTGGTTGGCTACATTGGAGGAGCTTGTGAGTAGATGTGGATTAGGTAGGACTGCAGTGTATGTTAACATTTGGATGATGAAATGCCAAACTACCTTACTAATCAATGCTAGGTCCCCAGTATATATCCCACTCCCCTCGCTTCTTGCAGGCATCTTTTCCTCTTGTATTTTTGTGACTGGGTCTCACTGATGTAGTCCAGGCTGGCCTTGAACTGGTGATCTTCCCGCCATAGCTGTCAAACTGCTTGCTTGGATAGAGGCATGTACTAGCACAGCCAGCTTCTTTCACGTGTGTTTAAGTAGCAGTTGATTACAGAGCATTCCCATCACCCCTAAAAGAAAACGGCCAGTTTGCAGTCAGTCCCTTTCCTCTTCCCTTGGTCCTGGAAACCGCTAGTCTACTTAGAGAGTCGCCTTGGGGGACATGTGATATAAATAGACTGATGCTGCACGCAGCCCTTTCTCTTTGGCTTCTTTCTTCTGAGTGTGATGCTTCCTGAGGTTCATTTATGCTGTAGTGTGTCAGTTCCTCATTTTTGCTTTATTGTGTGGATGGACTGCATTTAAAAATCCCTTCGCTTAATGGATTTGGGGGTGGTTTCCAGTTTTTATCTGTGTGAATAACGGTTCTGTGGACATTTGCAAGTGTTTGTTCACATGGGCACGTTTTAATTTTTATTACTTTCATATGTATACCAAGAACTGGAATTCTTAGGTCATCTATTAACTCCATATTTAGCTCTTTGAGAATTGCACGTGTGTGTGTGTGTGTGTGTGTGTGTGTGTGTGTGTGTGTGTGTGTGACAGAAGCTGTGTTGAGTGTCATTATCACTCTCTGCCATGTTTTTGGAGACAGAGCTCTCTGAACCTGTCCCTTGGTGTTTGATCTGCCAGCCCCCAGGATCTGCAGGTCTTGGGTGCCCCTAGTCAGTCCTGGATTGTTAGCACAAGCCATCATGAGTGCCCGGGATGTGGGTTCAGGTCAGCTCAGTCTTTCTTTTTAAGCCATCCCAGTAAGTGTAATTTCTGATTTGCATTTCTCTAATGACTACTGATGGAGAGCAATTTTCCCCACATGCTTATTGGTCATTTGTGTCCTGGGATGTTCTTTTGAGAAATGTCTGCTCATATCCATTGATCACCCTTTAATTGGGTTCTTTTTTTGTTACTGAGTTGAAAAAATTCCTCATATTCTGAGTTAAAATTTCTTACGATTTGCAAATCTGATTCTGTAGGGTTTTCTTCACTTTTTATGTACTTTGCCCCTTATATAATTGGTATTAATTTTGTGTATCTATTTTTGCATTATTTATTAAATCTTTTTTTTAATTATTTTTTATTTTATGTGCATTGGTGTTTTGCCAGTATGTATGTCTGTGTGAGGGTGTTAGGTCCCCTGGAACTGGAGATACAGCTAGTTGTGAGCTGCCCTGTGGGTGCTGGGAATTGAACCCGGGTCCTCTGAAAGAGCAGTCAGTGCTCTGAGCCATCTCTCCAGCTCCCTGTTTATTAACTCTTTAAACGTGTGCTCCTTGCTTTAGAAAAGCTAACGTAAGCTAAGGTAGTTAAAGCAGCATACCGAATGGTGGCTGTGGGAGTTGGTGTCCGTAGCGCATGACGATGGACAGAAGACAGAGAGGTTCAAGATCTTTCAGCATCAAGAGCTTGTTTAACTCCTTGATCCAGAATAACAAGTAATAATAACATGACTAAGGGTTATTTTTCTGCTTAGCATAATTCCCAGTTAAACTGTTATGTTCATTATTAACAGTAAAACCTTTTCATTCTAATCTCAATTTATAATTTAAATATTTTATCAATGAAATAGATGTATGTGTACATATGCCTGTGAGAGAGAGAGGGGTGTGGGGGGTGGGGAGGCCGGAGGTCAACCTCAGGTGTTGTTTCTCAGAAACTGTTCATCTTGTTTTTGAGACAGTCTCTCATTTGGTATTTATGGATTAGCCTTGGCTGGCAGGCCGCTAAGCCCAGGTCTTCTGGTTACTGCCTTCCCAGTATTGGGATTACAAGCGGACTAGCATGCCCAGCTTTTGCTGTGGGTGTCGGGTATCGAACCCAGGTCCTTTTGGCTTACATAGGAAGCACTTCATAGACTAAGCTTTTCCCTCCACGTGGTAAATAGAAATTAAAAGCAAGCAGTTACTGAATATTGATTAGCACTTTGAGATCTTTACATAGTGCTTTTTTTGTGAGAGAAAGAAATGTTATAGGACTGCAGTTTTTCCAGCTAAGAAGCTGAAACCATCTGTTCTGCTTCATGAAAAGATTTTCAGGTGTTATTAATATACAGACTAGGAGAACGATCTCAGTTAAGGCTCTAAGAAACCTGTAAGAAAAACAGTTCAGGGTTGGTGTGCAGCTGGGTCAGTAGAGTACTTGCCCAGCACGCAGGAAGCCTGGTATTCAGTCCCCAGCACAGCGTTAACGAGACAGTGTCAGACGTCTGTAACCACAGAACTTGGAAGGTGGGAAGAGAAAGGTGAGATATTTATAGTCATACTTGGCTACACAGAGCCTGTGATGATAGCCTGGGATCCACGAGACCTTGTCTCGGAGACAGACTGGGGGGTTGGGAGTGAAGACAATACTCAGCTGTTGAAGAAGCCCTTTTGAGATTTTAGGACACCGAGAAGCTGCTACAGTCAAGACTGCCCCTTACCCCATGTAGTGGCGAAAATGACTTACACAGTATGTGTAAGTCTGAAGTCAGTAATGGTCGTCTAAGTATATGCCAATCTATAGCCAAAATGTGTATTTTATGTTTGAAATTATAATTGTTATAAGCTTTTGGCACATTTCTGTTCTCATTATAGGCCTCAGGAGTTCAGGTTGCAGATGAAGTATGTCGTATTTTCTATGACATGAAAGTTCGGAAGTGCTCCACACCAGAAGAAATCAAGAAAAGGAAGAAGGCTGTCATTTTTTGTCTCAGTGCAGACAAAAAGTGCATAGTTGTTGAAGAAGGCAAAGAGATCTTGGTTGGAGATGTTGGCGATACCATAACTGATCCCTTCAAGCATTTTGTGGGAATGCTTCCTGAAAAAGATTGTCGCTACGCTTTGTATGATGCAAGCTTTGAAACCAAGGAGTCCAGAAAAGAGGAGCTGATGTTCTTCTTGTGGTGAGCACTTAGAACCCCGAGCTTCTGTGGCTCTGAGATCTTGGAGACTAGTGGGGACCAGGATGGTACTGATGGTGTTGGGGTTGAGCCAGGACCATGCATGTGCTAGGTATTCTCAGACCCCTCAAAATGATTTGTATTGAAGCTACTCAGGTTCGTTGTCAAAACATTTGCCAGCTTTTATAAAGTGTTAGTTGTATTAATAGTTTAGCTACATTGTCTACTCGAAAGAACACCATTTTTAGGTAGTTTATTTTGTGGATTCTTAGAACTCGTTTCTAAACTGAAATTCCCTGGTACAGCAAAGCCTCTCCCTCTTCAGCACGTCAAGCTGAGCATCAGCCTGCTCTGCTGGGTACATATTCTTCACTTGGGTATTGGTAGTTTCTTTCTTTTGACAGAGCTGATGCCATTCCTTCCTCATTGTGGTTTGCTATGTGTTCCAGTTAGGTCCCCACTACCTACATAGGGATATTTAAATTTTAATTGTTAAAAAGATACCTCTGTATTTTGAGACAGGGTCTCACTGTATAGTCCAAGCTGGCCTGGAACTCAACAGTAGCTCTTCCTAGTGCTGGAAGTACAGGCGTAGTCTACCATGCCCAGTTAAAATTCACTGTTTAGCTGATTGAATATCTGTGTTTCTAGTTTGTAGCCATATACAACTGACAGACATAGAGCATTTCCATTGTTGCAAAAGACTCAGCCGAACAGTGTTCTCTAGTTAGCATTTTAAAGTGGTTTATTGGCCTTTTCTAGTTATTCTAGTCTTTTTAATTATTTGACATTAAGCCTTAGACAAAAGTCTTGTGTCCAGGCATGGTGACACATACCTTTAATCCTAGCACTTTGGAGAGAGGCAGAAGGATCACTGTGAGTTCCAGGCCAGCCAGGACACAAGGGGTCCGAGACTGCAGGTCAAAAACTTTGAGATTTGAGGGAAGATAATGGTAGATTACACATCACTTCTATTCCACTAAGGCTGTACAGTACTCTGGTAAACCATGGCATTGTGAGTCCTGCAAGCATGAGGTCAGGGAACGTGTAGGAGCGGACAGCTCACCATCCATGGAGAATGGTGTATAAAGAAGTACTGAGGGGCTGGAGCGATGGCTCAGTGGGAAAAGCACTTGTGTTCTTGCAAAGGACAAGGTTTGTTTCCCCAGCAACAACACCAGGTAGCTCAGTTCCAGGGTGTCTGATGTTCACTCTGGCCTTTGTGGACACCTGCGTGCATGTAGTACATACACAGACAAGTAGCCACACTCATAGACATAAATAAAACTTAAAAAGGTAATTATTGATAAGCCTTCAAGTTAGTAGGATTTGGATTTGAATGAGGTGCATTCATTAAACTTTATTTCTCCTATACACTAATTACAGTGTTAAGGCCTGGGGAAACAGCTCTATGAATAAAAATCAGTAAAGTCCCTGCCTTTGGGGAATTCAAAGCTATGTGGCAGGTATGCTGGCTAAATAGGCTTTTAAACTGGGCAGTATTTTCTTTACTTGCTTTTTTTCCTTTTTGTACATTTTTTATTCTTCACTGTTATTGTATATGTTATTGTACATGTGACCATCTATAACATTACCTTCAGAGGTGGGAAATAGAAAACTCGTAGATTCTGAGGCCTGTCTCATCTCCACTGGAGATTGTTGAATATGATGGAGGCTGTACTTTCTCTAAAGCAGTCCTTTCATTCTGGCATCCTCTGTCTAGGGCACCAGAACATGCACCTCTGAAAAGCAAAATGATCTACGCGAGCTCAAAGGATGCCATCAAAAAGAAGTTTCAAGGTATGGACTAGACTCACTTATGAAGTTTTATGGGTATAGTGAATCCCACAATCGGGACTGCAGTGTCTCTAATACTACTTTTCTTTGGAGAGCTTTGGCAACAAAGAAGGGAGATGTGCCCATGTTCCTGACCCTGTTCCTTTCCCATTGGTTGTTCATCACTGTATCGCTGGGTTTAAACTAGGGTCTCACATAGCAGCGGGGTCAGTTGGTTTATGTTATTCGTATTTAATTGTCTGCTGCTGCTTTTGAATGTAGTCGGTGACAAAGCTGTAGAAAGAAAATGTTAGGAAGTGGGGAAGCATTCTCTTACTTCTAGCTTTACTGTTCATTCAGTGGTGTGATTTTAGGTAATTGATTCATCTGGGTCCAAAGGAAAATACACCCACCTTGAGCTGGCCAGTTGTACTTGACTTGCTACTGGGTGGCTGGGGTCTGGATGAAGTGGCCTTGGCCAGGCTCCAGCCAGAAGACATTGGTATGGGGGAAGGAGCATGAGGCACAAGGGCTGAGTGACCTTGGCTAGAACCAGTAACATCATGGGCCTCAGCTCTGGGGCAGGAGGCTTGCTCCGAGTGTTCTGCTGCCACTTCCCTCCTACTGTGATGCCCCAGCAGCTGAGGGAGCTGAGGAAACCAGGGTTTACCCCGTGTTGGTGTCGTTGCTTTTCTGTGACTGGCTTTTGTCATCTGGGAGAAGAACTGGTTCGCCCTAGCTTGTTTTCGTGAGTTAAGGAATCCTGTTTCCTTTCCCAAGCCCTGCTGCCGCTCAAGTCAGTGGGTTCTTCATGCATTTAGGTTGATTTCGGGCCACCATAGTGTGCTCCCTAATCTGTCAACGGACGCTTCAAATGACTTCTCAGCTTCAATACTTGGATGAAACCCAAGAGTTAAGGGGAATTGCTACATAAGACTTGACTTAGGGATATTAAATGATAGACACTTTGAAACTTTTTTTTAGTGGAATCATCAATGGCTTTCTCAAATTAGTCCAAAAATGTCTGAAAACTGACCTGTTGTGCTTTGAGTAAGAGTTTGAGAAATGATCTTCAAATGGTAGACAACTGTTTACAACATAGCAGCTCTGTGCCGAGAAACTGCTGTGTGCGCGCCCACGGGGGATCTAGTTCTGCGGGTGCTGATGGAGCTGTCCTAAGTGTGTCCCGTCAGTGCCACATCTTAAGTGTTCGCTGCCTTAAGCGTGGTGGGTAATGCCACCACAGAGCTGTTTTCTATAGCCGTGTTTTAGTTCATGCTTGCTTTTTTTCTTTTTTCTTTTAAAGATTTACTCTATTTATTTATTTTGGTTTTTCGAGGCCAGGTTTCTCTGTGTATCCCTGGCTGTCGGGGAAATCGATCTGTAGACCAGGCTGGCCTCAAACTCAGGGATTCACCTGTCTCTGCCCTCCAAGTCCTGGGATTAAAGGCATATGCCACCATGCCTGGCTTTTACGTTATTTTTAATTATGTGCACATGTGAGCATCAGTGTGTGGGTTCATGTACATGTGAGTGCAGGTGCTCTCAGTGTCAAGAAGAGGGCACCAGATGCCATGGATCTGGAGTCACAGACCATTGGTTGTAAGCCACACTAGTGCTGTGGACTTATCTCTGGTCCTCTGGAAGAGCAAGAAGCACTCTTAACCATTGAGCTCTGTCTCCAGCCCCCATATTTCTATTTATTTTAAATATCAGGAAAAAATTACTAGGCCTGCCTCTTTATTGAAATATGACGTTAGTAAAGTACATATTATAAATTATTATAGAACTCTGAATGTCCACAGACTGAACATGATGGTTTTTATATAATTACCAGCCCCACAGCCTCTTTCTTGATGCTCACTTTCATTTGTACCATTCCCCTACCTTTTCCTGAACCCCAGTGGTAACTGGTACCGTGGCATCTAACTGGAAACATTAGCTGGGGCTGATTTAGAATTAAATAAACAGAGCCATAACAGGATGTCCACTTGTTTTTCTGGCTGCTTTCAGTCAGCATTATGTTTGTGAGGGGTCATTATTTTGATTCATGTGCTTATACATTATTTCTTCCCACAATTAGATAGCATTCCATGGTCTGTAATATGCAAGGGTCTTTAGCTTGCTACCTTAGAGAAATAAGTAAGCTGCTGCATAATTCTAAATAGAATTTCTTTTTCTCTCTAGGCATAAAGCATGAATATCAAGCAAACGGGCCAGAAGACCTTAATCGGAATAGTATTGCTGAAAAGCTAGGTGGCTCCTTAATTGTAGCTTTTGAAGGGTCCCCTGTGTAGATCATCAGCCAGTGCCACGACTTCAAAGCTTCCATTTAACACTGTCCTTTCACTATAGAAGCAAAGCATATAGATTTAGGCCAGGGTCTCACTGAGGGGAATTTGTCTTGTCATCTTTTAGAGTAAACTAAAAATTCTATAGATGTGTGCAAAAACCACTACCCTATATAAATCTAGCCTCTAAAGTTTTGTTGATGTGGAATTAAATTCTTATTGGCCAAATACCTATTTTCATGAGGTGACCTGTAAAGATTTTGTTAAGCTCAGGATTTTTAATAACACAGTTCAGAAAACAGTACAAGGCAATGTGAAGAGAACTACTAATCTTCGCTAACCTCAGCAGTTTTGTTTCTTTTGCTTAGAAAACTGATTGTAATCTATGCATAATTTTCATCCAAATTCTGTATTTTTCCTTGACTTAAACAAAATGAGATATGATTTTCTTTATAATGTGTACAACACTAATATAAATAACAGCAGTTAAGACTAAGCCAGGCAGTCAGTCTACCATGTGTGTCATAAGACTGCTTCAGAATTGTCTGCTTCAAATCCACGCTGGTCTTGCAGAGCACCATCCAGAGCGCAGTGCTGGATGCAGGACGCAGCCCTGTACCTGCAGTGAGAGGCTCCCTGGCCTGGGAAACTGCTTACAGTGACTTGGTGTCTTAGAAATCATGGTTTATCCTCAGGAGAATGTGCAGTGTCTTGTAACAACTAATTATATATTGCAAATTAGGGCTTCATTGTAATCTTCTTTATTAATGACAAATGATAAAGCAGTGTATTAATAAGCCAGGGTGCTGTCGATCTCTAATTTCTTCTTCAGAACCATGCTGCATCTGGTACAGTAGGATGTGGAAGAGTGTTGAGTATGTTTCCTCGGGGGCCTGGCAGGGTGCAAATCCTTAGCAGTTTACCAGCTATGTATGAAATGGGAAGCAGGTACCACGAATGACTCTCACCGGAGACTGCCCGACAACACTTGGAAGTGATTGTTACCACCACAGGCATGACACGGAACAGTAGAGATGCACAAACAGCTGAACTTAGAAGTAGCAATGCTGGCTTTATGTAATAAAGGAAGCATTTGTAACTTACCTTTTGTGTGATTATTTGTCTGAATTAGAGATGAATTTGCCTTCTGTACGTTTTTTTTTTTTTCTATGATAAAGATCATGTCCAAAAGCATCTTGAGGAGGAAAGGGTTTATTTCATCTTACAGCTCCCAGAATCCATCATTGAGGGAAGTCAGAGCATGGAGTCAGACATGGAGGAACGCTGCTTACTGGCTTGCTTACTGCACACCCTAAGACCACAAGCTCGGGTGGCGCTGCCCACAGTGGGCTGGGCCCTTCTCCATCTATCATCAACTAAAAAAATGCCCCAAATACTTGCCTACAGGGCAGTCTAATGGGGGCATTTTCTCAGATGTGGTTCCTTCTTCTCCGATAACCCTAGATTGTGTCAAGTTGACACAAAACAAAACAAGCCAGCATACTTTCCCTGTCCTCTGGGTTTTGACATTTCTGATTAGGAGGGGTAGGGTCACAGCTCACTCCTGTTTAAATGAGAATGCTACTGTAAAAGTTGGACATCCTTTTCCTATTCCAAATGTCTATCTGAAGGATTTTGCAAGCAAAATTGTAATTGTACTATCATCAAACTCCCTCTAAAAGTTGGCTGCTTGTCATTCCTCATCCTGAAGCTCTATGCAAAACAGCTTTTAGTAGCCATTGTAGCCCATCCCATAGCCTATGAGGTCAAGAACAGCCCTGTGGGTGGCCCGGGTAGTGTCCAAGGCTTTTTAGAACTGTTTCTGCTTGTGAAGTGTGGCTCCACAGCCATCACCACAGCTCGACTTCAGAAGTTCAGGCACACAGGTATGTGCAGGACAGGGGCTGCCTCAGGGTTCTAAGCGGTCTGTGAGTGACCATCTCCAGAAATAGGGTAGGTGTTAATGGTTCCTGGAACCCGTTTGTCTCCTGTAGTGGCTTTTGGGAAGTTGCAGGGGACACCTAGTCTGGGCCCAAGTTGTGCTAGCAAGTATTTCATTTCAGTTCTGCCGCAGTTAAGGTTTACATGTTTGTTGACGTTGGCCAAGGACAAAACTGCCAAGTATATGCCATTTCTAGAAGACTTTTACACTCTCAAGGGTTAACATATTAAGATGTGGAAAGCCAAGTTAGGGTTCATCCAGTGGGCACTCTTGGTTCCTGAGGAGGATGCTCATGAGGCCAGTGCTGACAGAATCCCATCAGGAGTTGCTTTGACATTCATTACTTCTGAAAGTATTAGACTCTGGAAAACAGCTGTGATGTGGACAGCTGAATCTTGGTCTTAACAGAGCTGCTAGGTCCTTGGCAGCTTCATTCCTATAGCCTCCTGGAGAATGAACCTCCCCAAGGATTTGGAGCCATTTCAAAATAACAGTAAGGTTTGGGCTGCCACTGGAAGAAGGGACATCCGGTGCATGACAGAGTGGTCAGGGGAGCCAGGGTTCCTGATGAGGAACATGTCACAGTAGGACATGTTGAGTTGGCCAGGGCAACTGGAAAGCCTCCGGCCAGCCCCTCAGTAGCCAGCAGAGGCAAAGCAGTTCACCTAACTGGGCAGCTTGACTTGTAACAAGCTCAGATGCCATGATTCTAGCCCTGGTATCCCTGCTGCTGTGGCGAGTTCCAGGTCTGCTTTAACCCTTGGCATTTGAAGGCTGGGTTTTGATTAGTAGGTGGGACATGAAAGGGGTGAGAAAACTATCCCTTTTGGCCTCAGAATTCATTAGATCCAACCCTGAGAGCTCAGTGAGAAAGCATTTGTGGAGGGTATCTTTGCCTTGTGTTCACCAAGGCCTTGCTAAGGTGGCCTGTTCCCATCCTTACTGCATTGCCCCATGCAGCTGCCTACAGGCCTGTGTCCTGCCTGCGGGCCACACTTTCAACAAGGGTCATGAAAGATGACCAGAGCAACATGCTTGTCACAGCTCGCTGGTGGTATGGGCCACAGGACACTGGCCATCAAGGACATCTCTGGTGGCCAGATGGGATCTTCTTTCTAAAGGGAAGCATTTAGGCAGCTCTGGTACTGGAGGAGTGTGACACCCCAGGAGAGCAGGGTCTCCAGAGAGATTCCTGTTATTCCCACCTCCTCGGCCAAGGGACTGGAAGCCTGGACTGCTTGGGCATTTAGTCTTGGTGTACAGGCAGCTGTGACTGGCCAGGCCCCCGTGGTGTTTACCATGTTGAACCTCTTTCACACTCTGCAAAAGGCCACTGTTCAGTGGATTGCTTTTCTCTGCTCCAGAGTCCCATGGATAGAACCTTATTTAGGAACAGCTGGACCACCAGGTCTAGCTGAGGTCTAGCTGAGATCCAGCACACTACTGCTGCTGTATACCACCTGGCAAACTCAGGCTCCCTCTGCTGGCCTGGGAGGTGGTGCTGCTGGGCCAGTTGGGAGAACTGATGGGTGGGCCCTTGGAGCCAGAGACGCTGGAGTGTCCACAAAGTACCCAGGCAAGCCCCTACAGGCCTTCCCCTGCACTGTGGCTGTCTAGCTACCCCTCTTCCCCATGGAAGTCATGGCTCCCACTGGCGGCCTGAGGAGAGTACCGTGATGAGCAGAAGCCAGGAATGAGTTATCCAGGGTCTGCAGCCTGGTAACTCCAGTATCTTGCCACCTTTCCTCAGTTCCTTCCCTCTCAAAATGAGTGTAGCCAGGCAGAGGTGGCTCGTGCCTTTAATCCCAGCACTCAGGAGGCAGAGGCAGGAGGATCTCTTGAGTTCAAGGCCAGCCTGGTCTACAGAGTGAGTTCCAGGACTCTGTTACACAGAGAAGCCTTGTCTAGGGTATGGCAACAAAACCTCAGCAGATGTTCTGCAGTGTGAGGAGGCTAAAGGACACAAGCATACTGATGTTCTCAGGATTCCTGTGACAGCTCGCAGGAATGCCACCTGCCACTCCAGGGGACCACGAGATGCAATCACTGTGCAGTGTGGGAATGGCACTTTGGTCACCCTTACCCCATAGGACTTGGCATCCAGGGGTTGCCCAGCCAAGTTCATTGAGTCAAATCTCTCAGGATTTTGAGGGTGACAGGTTAGGGGACGTGATCTACTGCTTGGTTGAAGAGACTGGATGAAGCCTGGCACAGGAACCAGGAGCTGCTCTGAGCTATTTTCCCTTCCTGGTGGTTCACCCCCTACTGTGACTACTTCTCACATCAACTCCAGATTCCCCCTGTGGAAGCCCATATAAAACTTGGACAAGGTTCCCCTAAATCAGGTCACTGGGCCAACAAGAGCTCCCAGCTCCGCGGTCACAGGAAGTCTAGCTTGGCTTCTGCCTGAGGGCAGTTGGTGGCAGCACCAGAGACCAGCATGGCTATTTATCCAGGTCCCTGGTGGGACTGAGCTCCCTGCCCTGCTCCAGGGACACTGGAACTTAGGAAGTGACTGGAGTGGGTGGGACAAGGCAGGAAACAGTGGGCCACATTCCCATGCTATCCATCAGCGTCCCAGCCTTCAGAGAAACTCATCTGTCTTAGGGGACAGCCACTCTTGGCTCCTCCTCCTGGGCTCAGCAGCTAGATGGAGAAGGCCCAGCAGAAGATCAGACAAGACTCCAGTGCCGGGCAACACGTTGGTTTTAATGGCATTGACATCCAGGCAGTCACATGTCAGTTCTGCTTGGCAACTTCCAGGGGTGAGGGGCTGCAGCTTGGCTGGGCTGGGCTGAGACCCTCCAGTCTGCTCAGCAAGCCTCCGAGAACTCACCACCTGGCCTGTTGCTTCCCGACCCGGCCCCACTGAGAAATACAGACAATTGCACTGATTGACATAAATCCCGAGCGGCCTGGCCTCCCAGCACACCCTAGTCTGTCAGCGTTGATGAGGGCTTTGGCGTCGGCTTGAGGTGGTCCAGGGCTGCTCCCGGGAATAGTGTTTATCAAATGTGACCAAGGTTCTTTTACAGACTGGGGGTCTGGAAGATTTATTTCTGTGGTTCTGAGACTTGTCTCCAATGGCTTCACTGGAAGTTGGGCCTGGATAACGAACGCTGTGTTGGTTGGTTATTTGTAAGGAATGTGTAAGGCATTTTGGTAAGTTGAACAGTTTGCCGAGGAGGTCAGACAGAGGTTCCCTCCTTTGAGCCGCGACCATCCTCCTGCGAACAAAGTGGGCATAAGAAGGAACGGCCAGGCCAGGAGTCAAGGCACCCCCACTTGCCCCATGCCCAGGACCCGCAAAGCCTTTCCCAGGGCAGCTCCACAGGCACCTCCAGGCACTTCAGAGAAAGCAAAGCTGTCAGTCTAGAGGTCCAGAGCTGACTCCAGGGGCTGGGGGATGCATGCGCAGGGACTGGTGGGACCCTATGATGAGAGGAAGGTGAGGCACCGAGCGTGGCTGAGGATCTGCGGTCCGGCATGCAGGGGCCACAGAGGCTCAGGGTGAGGACGAGCTAGCAGTGCAGGGGTCGCCCCGCAGTTCTCCACCCCCAGTGCCCCCTCAACAGCATGGGCCAAACCACGGGAGGACTGGAGGCTAGCCCTGCGGTCCAACCTGCACTAAGTACTTACTGCTTTTTCCAGCTGTTCTTGCAACTTCTGCACTGTGTCCTTCTCTTTTGTCAGCTGCTCCTGAGTCGTCTTCAAAAGCTCTTGAAGTTTGGTGGCGGCACGCCCTAGGTCACTTGTTAGCCTCTTCTCTTTTTCTAGTCTCTCCTGCGGGCCAGGGGGGTGAAGGAGGGAAGGTGATACAGTAGAAGAAGAGGAGCTAGCTCTACAACCTCCATGAACACAAGGCAGACAGTGCTGGCTGGGAGGAAAGCCTGTGCTGACAATTCTGCCTGTGTCCCGTCACCTCCTGCTGCTGCCGGGGCAGCTTCCTGGCCTGGTGGTTTACTGTGCACTGCCCACTACCAGAAACATGACTTCAAGCCATACAGAGCTTACACTTAAATGGCAACACTAACTTGTAACTGAGATGTGACTTAGTGCTGTCAAGTGCCCTTCACTAGGCGTGGCAAGGGAAGCCAGTGCCTGTGCGGTTCTCTGGCCCCTGTCCCAAGGCCAAGAATGACTGTAGAGATGAGTAAGAATGGCCTCTATAGGCTCATTTATTTGAATGCTTAGTCATAGGGAGTAGCACTATTTGAGAAGGATTAAGAGGTGTGGTTTATTGGAGCAGGTGAGGCCTCAGAGAAAATGTGTCTCTGGGGGTAAGATCTGAGGTTTCAAAAACCCATGCAAAGTCCACTTCTTTTGTGGCCTGTGGATCAGGATGTAGCTCTCAGCTATTGCTCCAACACCATGTATGCTGCCATGATAAATGGAATAAATCTCCGAAACTGTAAACAAGTCCTCGATTAAATACTTTCTTTTATAAAAGTTGCTTTGGTCATGGTGTCTTCACAGCAACAGAACAGTGACTAAGCCAGTGACCAAAGCCTTGAAGACCTACAAATCCAACTGGTACCCCAGCTCTATCCTCTACCTTCAGCTGTATGACCTCTTCTGTTCCCGCAGACTCCAGGGGACCAGCAGCGCGGAGCTTCTCCAGCTCTTCTTGTAACCGACAGGCTGTGCTCTGAGCCTTAACAGAGAGGGGACAGGTCTGAGTAAGAAGCCTAGCAGTCAAAACTGGCTAAGTTCACCTAGGGGCAGAGGGGTGAGCATCCCCAGCCTAAGGCAGTAGCTCAGGTTAATCCATATGGCTGGATGCGCATGGGCAAGAAGCTTGGACATAGTCTACAAGCACCCAGGCCTTCGGGATCCCCCAAAGATGTGGATACTCACAGGCTCAGCACCCGTGCCCATTCACTGGAGCTCCGGGGCTTCTTAGCCCAGGTGTGTGGTGGGAAAGCTGGGAAGGGCAGAGACGATGGCCAAGCTCTCAGGATAGCCTGAAAGCTTGTAGGGGCTGAGGGCACTTGGCAGGGGCTAACCTCTTCAAACTCAGCTGTGAGCTTCTGCCGCCGTGTCTGCTCATCCTCCAGGATGGCCTCTGTCCGCTCCAGCTGTGTTTTCAGCTGTACGGAGACACAACAAATGTGACTGGAGAGTCTGGCACAGGACCCTCTGGGGACAGGTTGAGCCTGTAGGCTCTACATTCTAGCCGCTTGCTTCTAGCTGCCCTGCTGAGTCGCTCTTAGCACTCTTCCTTCTGGGGAGACAGTGCCTCAGACTCGAGAGAAGCAGAGACGTTGAAAAGAGATGCCAGGGAAATACTGCAATCTCAGGAACCTTTCAAAGGACTCACAGGGTAAGAAAGACCCCAAAGCCGTGAGGCAGATCCCAGGTCCACAATGGGAGCCCAACAACAGGTCCCTGCCTCCTCCAATTGCTCTTGGTAGCAGATATCCCAAGAAAGGGCCACAGCTAGAGACAAAACCCCTTTGTGGCTATAGACCCAAACCCAAGCTGCAGCCCTGTCCTGGTCTTGGGAGGGTTAAAGGCCCTGGCTACCTGCCCTTGACTCTACCTTCCATTCTGGGTACCTCTCATCCATCCCAAGCAGGGTGGGAGGGTGACTAGCAGTGGGGATCGGACACACCTACACTCAGGTTAGTCAGTACACAGGCTGCCCACCCTGAGTACCACCGGAGGAGTTAGGGACACATCTGAGGACCAACTCATCACCCTAACCTTCACAGGGTCCTGCTCGGCTGGAGGGACAGCTGGAGACCCAGCCACGTCACCATCCTCTACGTGGCTCTTCATGTCACTCAACTGCTGCCTGACCTGAAACAGGGAGGGGTGTGTTTGTGCAAATACACAGCTGGCGGCATGCGCACGCGCGCACACGCACACACACACACACACACACACACACACACACACGAGGGGGGGGGGAGAGAGAGAGAGAGAGAGAGAGAGAGAGAGAGAGAGAGAGAGAGAGAGAGCGCACCCTTGTGCAGGAAAGGTACGCCAGGACTACACACTCCACTCTGAGCCTAACAGAGGCCTCTGGGCCAATGAGAGCTATGTGTGCTTTTTGGGGTGAACTGGTGCCCCCTATCCCACCCCCTGGAGCAAAATGACTTCAGTGGATGTAGATCACACAAAGGCAAGGAGTCCATCTGGACAGAGGCAGCTGACAACATGCCACACTCCAGTTCAAGGATGTAGATGATATTATTGCCTTGTAATGTTCTATTCTCTGAGTTCTATTGCTGGGGACAAGTTTCACAATATAGTGGCCCTGAGGCCACTAGACCTCTAGGCCTCCCATCTGAAGGGCAGCAGGGTCACACAGGTTGCTTGAGAAAGGTCCCAGTCAGAAGGCCTGTGGATAGAACTCAAGTACAAGTTCTTCAGGAAATCTGGGCAGCCTCAGATTCTACTTAAGCTTTACTCGGCAGGCCACCCCAGGTCTGCCTTCCCAAAAGGCTCAACAGGCCGAAACCAAAGGGCACAGTTGAAAGATGACAAGAACCCCTGCCAGGCATGCTCTGTGTGTGTGCCTTGCCTGGGCTGCACCCCTGGAGGGTGTGGGGTGCTCTCATCCAGACCCAACCTGGCAAAGAGCTGAGAAGAACAGCCTTAGATCCGGGTAGCTTGGCCTGGGCCATAGCCACTTCTGGTGTGGTAGTCTGGGCAAGGCGTCAGAGCTGGGTGCAGTGAACTGGGAGCCTTGCTGGTCTTAGAGGACAGTGTGGAGGGTGCTAGCCTAACCCACCAGAGCTGCTCCTCCGGCCAGAGCTCTCCACGCTCAACCCCACATTTCCAATGCTGACGGCTACGTCAAGGTTTTCAAAGTGACATTGCAGATCAGACAGAACACAGCTGTGGCTGATCAGGCTGCTGTTACAGCCAGAGCTGGGGAGGACGCAGTCCCTGGACGAGGGAGCGCAACTGGCCAAGCAGCTGGGACACGGGATCAGACACGGCAGCTGCCGACCGGAAAATGGACGGCCTCCTCCCAGGCAGTCTGCACAGTGCAGCCCCTCCCATCTCTGCAGGTTTATCTGCTCCCAGTGCCTGGCAGAGGGCCAGAGGGAGCAGGCCGCCCTGTGTAACTGAGACTGGCAGGGCCTGGGTCATCACTGCAGCGGGAAACCCTGCAGAAAGCACAGGCATGAATGCCACCCTTGTGATGTCAGGGTCCTATGTCCTGGACTGGTCAGGTGAGAAAACAGGCTAACAAGGTCTGTATGTCCCACAGCTCTCTGTCTTGAGCAGGGGCCAGGTCTTCCCAAAGACGGGCAACGGAATGTAAACATCCTGGCCCCTGGCAGCTACCAGCCCAGCTTGGAGTTTCAGGCATACTGCACGACATGACTAAAGCATGGCATGCCCTGCTAAGCTGCGGTCTCTGCATGGATGTCAAGACGCCACCATCAAGTTAATCTCACATGCACACACACATACCCATGTCATACTCCTCTGCCCAGGACATAAGCCGACCTACCAGGGCAAGCTCAGTGCTCTGCTTCTGGGCTTCACTCTTGGCTTGATCCAGCTGAGACTGAGAGTCTAACAGAAGCTGCCTCAACTTCAGGGGAAACAGCAAGGTGAAGAGTAGAGGAGGAAAAAAAAAAAAGAAAACCGGTTCCAGTAAGCCTGTACCTTACCCTGAGATAGACCCCAAGCCCGGGGGATTGACACAGAAGGGGCAGGTGTCCTCCAGCTACCATTTCCTGTCAGCTGACTTAGGAATGATGGCACACCCAGGCTTCAGAAACACCTGCCCACTGTCTCTTGTTAAAGAGCACAAATTTGCAACCAAACTAGACTGCGGGCGCCAGGCTTGGGAGCTCGGCTCCTGAAACCAGAAGTCAGCAGCAGACTGAATCCAGTCCCAGCTAAAATGGACAGCAGCGAGCCTGGCAGAGAGGCCACAGGCTGAAGGGCCAGCCGGAGCAGGAAGTGCTACTCTCACAAACAAGGCTCTGCCCCTGGACACCTCGGGACTGTCAGTCCAAAGGGGCACCAGTGGACTTGAGGGGAAAGTCAGAAAAGCGAGCTTCTAGGGCTCCTATTGACAAGCTCTCAAACAGTACAGAAGGACCCCTGGGAATAACCCAGGCTTCATGGGGCAGAGGCCACTCAAGACCAAGACCTGGGAATGGTGGATTCACTCACCCCTGCCACCTCCTTGGCATAATTCTGGCACTCTGCACTGGCAGCTGCCATGTGCTTCTCCAGCTCCGCTTCCAGAAATGAAGTGTGTTCCCTCACCTGGACAGGGACAGACATGGACACGGGTCAGAGCCTCTCAGTGGCCAACAGGGGCCCTAATTATACAAGCGGGAATGATAGGTGCCAAGTCTGGCTGGCCCTGAAATATGTAAGGGTAAAAATGATACTGGGTAAACTGAGGTCAGAAATGGGGCAAGAAAGCCCCCCATTGAACTTCAAACCCAAATTCCAGTCCTGCTGGGTCCCCCAGAGTCCTCAGGCTCCAGGAGGGGTGGGGGAGCAGCTCTGACAGACTGGCAAAGCTTGGACAGAAGGCACCTTCCCAAAGGCCACGGCTTGCTGCAGTGGCTTGAAGAACAGCAGGTCCCCGTCAGCATGTCTGAATTCTAAGGTCTATAATCAAAGCCACTGCTGGGCAGAGCTGCACAGCCCATGGCTCTCAGGCCACTGAGGCTGTAAAAGCTTATCACTTAGGCTAAACAGGACAAAGCCCTTGCTCAGGAGAGCGACAGCCTCCTTGGGCACGAGGTCCATGAGGAAAAAAACAAGGACCCATGCAATCTCTGCATGACTGTCAGAACGCGACCAGCAAATTTATAAAACAACAGAAAGCAACCCTCAGGACAGAGGCAGACGTACCTGATCTGAGCTTTCCAGTTCTCCTTTTAGCTTCTCTACAATGTCTTCCAGCTGTTTCACTGTGACTCGTGACTACAAAGGGGAAGAGCCATCAGGCACGAGAGTCTGGGGGAGAATCCTCGGGTGCCCACCCATGCTGTGGAGCCCGCTGGGCTCTGGGGGAGCCGTACCTTCTGGAGCTCCTCCTCAGCAGCCCCCACCTTGGCCTTCCACACACGCTCTTCCTCCTCCACACTCTTCTGCAGGTCTTTGAGCATCCCCTCCTGGAGGGGAGGGGACACTGAGGCAGGCCCTCTCCCTCCTTAGCTTGACCCCAGAAACGTACACTGTATCTTCCTGACCCCCAGCAGCACTACTCTGCCCCACTGACTGCAGACTGGGTGTCACGGGGAAAGAAGCTGGCCCTGGCAGGGCTTTCCCAGGAAATGAGGTCTATAGCCCCCATTCCTACTGTTCTTGGAATCAAAGGGCTCAACCCCATTTACTCCAGGCCGACCTTGTCCTTCCCTGCCTGCTTGCCCAGGCATCCCTATTGTCACCATCTCTCCTAGCCCCAAACCTTAAACCCACCCTTGTTCTCGACTTAAAAAACAAAGACCCAAGAGCTTTGTCTATCCCCTTTTACCATTCAGCTAAAAAATGAGGCCCAGAGGATGCCAAGGGGCTACTTGAGGTCACACAGAACCATGCTATCATCTCCTGCCCTAAAGACTCCAAGCTCTCCTTCCTGGCAGTACCCTAGACACACCAAGCCATAGTCACCACCAGGGTTGGTCCTGGTTGCTTACCGTCTCCGCCAGGATGGTGCGGTACTGGTCACACTCAGCCTGCAAGGAGTTCTGGGTCTCTTCGGCCTCCTTCAACTTAGAGACTATGTCCTGAGGGCAGAGGGACGATCAGGAGTCTGGTTAGTCCTTTCTCTTGACGACTCACTGAAAAAACTGGGCTCCTGATTCCTAGGGGCCAGAGGAGGACCCATGCCCAGCAGCGTCACTCACCAAGGAGGGCTCCAGGGCAGCAGGTGGTTTCTTCAGCAGCTCCGAGCCCTTCTCTTTGACTTCTCGCAGCCATTCAGCATAGTTCTGCAAGGAAAAAAAAAAGGCATGGTGGGGCCAGATGCTCCCTGACAATAGTGGGGACCTGGGAAGTCATCCTTCTTCCTACCTGGTGTGCTGAAATGGAGAGGTCTGGGAGCAAGGCCAGCAGGACCTCCTTGGTCTGGGCCTCAGCCAAACGGAGCTGCTTCTCTGATTCCTCCTGGAGGGTGGGAGAGAGAAGGGCAGCACTCAGCCAGTCTATGCCCCCAGAAGGGCACATCCTCAGTGCTGCATGCGAGGGACAGGACAGAGGAGCTATGCTGTTTGGTCTATACCCCTGATTATTTGTGTGGACAGCAGACACTCAGGTCCCAAAACCTTTCCCTTTCCAGCTTGTGTGTGCAAAGATGTACACACATGTGTAAGGACCAAGCTGAAATGTACAGCTAGGGCAGGGTGGGGGCAGGAAGAGGCTAGAAGGTGCATGGTGTCCTAACAGGTGGAAACTGTGAAGGTGGAAACAGGGCATCCCCAGCAGCCACCAGGGTTAGGGCCAGTGGGAGACAGGGACAGAGGCCGAAGAGGCTCACCTCCAACTAGAGGAGGAGGAGAAGGGGACCAAATTCCCACCAGGCAGAGCTAAACCAACTTAAGGGACTGCAGTGAAGGTGACCCAAGCCTGACACTCCTCACTGGCCCTCCAGAGGGAGCCAGCAGCCTCTCCTCAAAGCATGACATCGGGAAAGGCCAGAGAAGAACTACAGGAGCCATGCAACAAAGCCTGGGGACAAGGGCCTCCTCATGCCCCCAAGGACAGAAGTCTGGGGAATGGCTCCAGGGAACTTTGGCCTAAAAAGTTTCATTTAAATCTGAGACAGACTGAACCCACTGGCAGTTCCACACCACTGGGCACGACTTGAGGCTTGGGGTGGCAAGGACCCAACCCTGTGAGCAGCACTTTGTCTATCTATACCTGGTACATGAAAGCAAACAATATGACATGTGAGGTGACCCTTTACCTCTATCTGCATGTGTAGACACAATCGAGTCAGGTAACAGCTCAGGCCACAACTTAAACATTTGCCACAACATGGGCCAGATGGTCATGGGTCATTTCTAGGACTAAAAGTCCAAGATTCCAGGAATCTGACTTCAGCTCTAAGACTGCAGTGTGGCCAAGGCTAGCCCTCCCCAAGTCTTCCTTTGGAGAACCCTCAGGCTTCCTGGGAGAACCATGAGAGAGTCACTGCAAGGCTTGTCCTATGGAGACGCACACTCCTTCCATTAAGTGACGCTGGCAGGAGAGAGCCTTTCACGTGGGATGGAGACGTGGGATGAGCACAGGTGTACAGGGAGCTTTAGGTGTCACTACTGCTGGGGATGAGACTCCATGTTGGCTCCTGGCCAACCAAGGGCCCCCGAGGACTCTGCTGCCCAGATGCTCACTGCTAAGATCATTTCCCTGAGATGCAATGTAATTTCAGACAGCCCGAGAAACAGGCAAGAATATTCACTTTAGGCCAGGATGAAAACTGCACAAAATCTCTAAGCTGCAAACCCTGGGCTTGCTCAGAGTCTGTGCTCCTCTCAACAGAGGAAAGGCATTAAGGGCACAGATTTCTTCTCTCCATCTTAAGGAAAAATGAAAAGGAAGGCAGGAGAAAGAGAAGGAAAGAAGAGATAGGAGCTTGGGGGACACTGAGGTGGACACAGGAGACACTCTGAGGCCAAGGCTAGCCCACCCATGGTTTGTGTTTCATGGTGTTTGCTAAAGCAGACCAGTACTGCTGCTCCAGTCTTGGCCTGACCAAAGTACTCAGGATGGACAGGTATTCCTACCTTGGCTTGGGTCAGAGAATGCAGCTTCTCTTCACAGGTCCGCTCAGCTAAGGCCAGTGCCTCCATGGCCTTCCAGTTCTTTTCACGGAGGTCCTAGAAGGAACCAGAGAAATTATAGCATGGTCCCCACTGGCTGCCTCAAGTTGGTCTCAGCAAAGGCAGGGCCCACAGAACCTCCCCTAGTAGGACCTGCCAGGGACTAGGTATCCTTTCCTTGGTCTATAGACACATGGCCTCTCAGAGCAGGTGCTCAATACAAAGACAGGAACTGTGGCCAGAGCAAAATGGTCAAGGCACAGGGTAAATAACCTGCCATTTCCAGGAAAGTAGAAGTGGGGAGCTAGCCTCTCTTCAGAGGGAAAGAGTTTTTCCTGCCTCCCAAAGAGAAAGCATGGCCCCTGGCACAGTTCTGGCCCAGAGATTCCCTGGGAAGCCTCGTTCTCTATGGGGCACTGTGACAAGGTAAATGCAAGCACAGCCTCAGTGGAGAGGTATGTCACCTGCTCAGCATGGCTCCTTCCTGTCTTCTAGCATTACCCTCCCTACCCTGAACTCCTCAGAGGGATCACAAGCCCGGAGCCAGGCCAACCAGCACGCTGCAACCCCAGCAGTTGTGGACTGTGTGGGAGTGGAGAGCCAGGAGAGAGACTTAGCACAGACAATGGGAAAGGAGCTGGGGAACGGCAGGTCCCATGGGGGCCTGGCCGGTCTCCTGTGTTTGCAGGTGATTTCGGGAGGACACAGCCCACAGCTCCTCTTTCCCACTTCATCCCACCCTTCTACTCACATTGTTCTTCCCTTTCTGCTGCTCCATAGCCTCCTTGAGCTCACTGGTCTCCTTCTCCAGACACGACACCTGTGACTCCAGCTCCTTGAGACTGGGGCGGGGGCGGGGAGGGGAGGTTTCAGTCTCTGCCTGGGCACCTGGCCCAGCTTGCCGTCCCTCCATCAGCCTGGGCATAAGCTTTCAGAACAGCCTGTCTCGCTGCCTAGCCTTTCTCCACTCACCAAAGTGCCAGGAGTCAGGGCACAGACCCGAGTGAGAGTCAGAAGTAAGGTTTTTAAGATCGTCTTTCTTCTAGCCCAGGCCCTACCTTGGCACCACAGACTACGCCAGCTGACCCTTCTCCCTGGTGCATGCCTGCCCTTAGAACTGTGCTCAGGACTCAGGGCAGTGCTGTGCCTTCCTCACTGGACTCTGGGCACCACTGTTCTAGCAGCTCTCAAAGGCCCACTGACTTCTAACTCTTCCGAGACTCACAAGCTCCTTCTCCTTAGTTCTGGAACTGAGGTTTGAGGAATTAGCTGAAGACAACCCATCACACATCTCTCCAGTGCTCTAAAAGCTATACTCAAGGCTCTTGGGAACGAGCCTCAAATGGACATCTTAATGTGGTACCTTCTGCACTAGATGATAAGACCCAGATATGTGAAACTCCAAGTCCAGAAGTGGTCAATTGTGGTGGTTTAAATAAAAATGGCCCCCATGGGCCCATAGGGAGTGGCACTATTAGGAGGTGTGGCTTTGCTAAAGTAGGTGTGGCTTTTGTTGAAGGAAGCATGTCACTCAGGGGTGGGCTTTGAGGTCTCAGAAGTTCAAGCCTGGCCAGTGTGTCACTGTCATTTTTCTGCTGCCTGCAGATCCAGAGGTAGAACTCTCAGCTACCTCTTCAGCACCATGTCTGTCTGCATGCCGCCATGCTTCCCACCAAGATGATAATGAACTACACCTCTGAACTGTGAGCCAGCCCCGATTAAAGTTTTCCTTTATAAGACTTGCTGTGGTCATGGTATCTCCACAGCAATAGAATCCTAAGACATCAATGACAGTCTGAACCACCAGCTTGAGCAACTCTGAGATGCTGGGAAGCCTGGCAGAAGAGCTGCCACCAGTCTAGGGGTGTAGGGGTGCAGGGGTCTGACTGCCAATGTCAGCTAGAGGAGAACACACATGTGCATGTTTCTTCTGGGAGGCCATGGTCAAAGCTTTCTGAAAACCACCATTCTAACTCACACTAACATCAGCTATAATGTCAGCACAGGCTGAACACACGGCCATCCTAACCACCCTGACTAATAACGACTCTGCCTAGCACAGCTTCCTGTTTTCAGGAATTTCAAGTCTGAATAGAGCAGACTTGGCTTTGAAGACCCTGGTGGGCTTTGCAGCTATAGGTTTCAGGCCCACGGAACCTTGATTCCACCCTCAAAGCTCCACTGGGATCCCTCAGCTACTCCCGCTAATGCCAGCATTACTTAAGAGTCTCTTCCGGCAGAACACCTCAAGCATGCCCAGGACAAGACCCCGAAGAAGCAGAGAACGAAGATCAGTGGCAAGGACACACTGACCATAACCTCCTTGGCAGTTGCTATCAAGTTCCAGAACATTTGGGGTTGACACTTCAGCTCAGAACAGGATGGCCCCACCTAAGCAACTTACAGATACACTGTTTCAGAAGGAAATCAACCAGTTTCTGCTAGACATACCAACACCAGGCAAGACATTAACAAGTCTTGTTTGGAATGTGACTTAGTTATCTTAGTAATGTACTGTGTTATACAAATATCTGAGGTGATTTGTTTTGATACAATGTCTTGTAATCCTCCTGCCTCAATCTCCAAAGTGTTAAAATTATAGGTGTGTCTTATCATGCCAGGTTTCAAAAATCCGATCTTAAAACACAAGAGAAAGCCCTGAATGAACACAACCTCTCCACCTTATAAACACCATCAGGAGATGTGATGTTTACCCACGCATTCTGAGAAAGGAGGTGGAGAGACTTGGTTTTTGGGTCTTCAAGTGGGTTCCTAGTTTCCTTCTTAACACCGCCCCCACCCCCAGTTTCAGAGCCCGGTGGACACGTGGGGACAGACAGGCTGTGGCTAGGGAGCTGCATTTGCTGCAAGGCACATGGGGAAACAACTCTTTGGCAGCGACAGCCAGAATGAGGGGTTTGTTGACTGCTATCCTAGGACACTTGCCAGTATTCAGGGAGATGAAGACCATCCTTCATGCCCCTCCTTCACGTGGCTGCTTTGGGATCGTAGACCATGGCAGCCAGCACTCACCTCCCAAGCCTGTGGGCATCTGACCCTGAGGCACTGGTCAAAAGGACTTGAGCCTGATGGGAGCTGGCCCATCCAGATAGTTTGGCCTTAGCACCAGCAAATAAACAGCCCTGAGAATGGCCTGGTGTGGGTCTGTGCAGCTACTGACACTGAGGGGAAGTAGTCTGGCCAGCAAGGAAGTCACCTCACAAAGGAAATGAGGTCTGTAATGTGCTCTGGACTACTCCAAAAGAAAGGGAGTACAGCATCCACTTCCTCATTTGACTTCTGGACCTCGAGCCTTAAAAACCCCTCGCCTTGAGGAAACTGAGAGCAACCCTGGACCACTGGAGCTCTCGGGAAGTCTTTCCCTCACAGAGCTCAATTTGCTCCTGGAGAGCGGCAGCAGCTTTCGCTGCCTGCCGTGTTCATCCAGGGACTTGGGCTATGGAAGCCTCAAGTGTTAAGGAGTGGAACCTTTAATAGGTGGGTTAGGGGGAGGCAGTTCAGTCATGGGAGTGTTGACCTAAAAAGGAATTGATTTCTATAAGGGCAAGCTGTTACAAACAATAAGCCTGACCCTGTCTTCCTGCCTCACCACGAGCAATTTCCTAATATAGACTCCTGCCATAGTGCTACTCACCATGATGTGATAGCCAAGGAAGCCCCTCACCAGAGGCCAGATACCAAATCTGCAAGCTAAGAACCTTTTCTTTTTAAGAGTCCCCAGCCTCGCATATTCTGCTGGAACAATGGAAAGCAGACTAATGCAAAACTCTTGCAAGGTGGCTTTGTTCCCTACCCAACTCTGTCTCCTGTTTTTTAAGTAACTGAAGGGACAGGTTAAGAAGGGGGACTCTAAAAGGGGTTCCCCCTTCCCCCCAAGACCCAAGCATTCCAGTGAAAGCTCCAGCTTCCAAGGGCCATGGCCAACCTGGGCTAAGCCCTGCAGCTCCTTAGAGCCCTCCTTGAAGCTTACCGAGTCTGCTGCTGGTCCGCCTCAGCTTGGCTGGCCTGAAAGAAACACACAAAGCTCCTTGGTTCCACGAGGCTCACACATGCAGGAACTGGGCAGGGTTGGAGGCCCTTTGCTCAGTGGAGTCCACCCTCACCTTGGGCTGTCCTGAGAAGGGACTGACCTGGGTGTTTTGGGCCTGGCCTGCTTCCAGAAGGGTCTCGATGGAACGGATCCTCTCTGTGAGCTGTGAGTTCTCTGCCCTGGCCTCCTTGAGCTGCCCGTGGAGATTACTCAGCTCCTCACACTTGTTTTTTACCTCTACCTCAGAAGACTGTAATTTGCTGTGCAGTTCTGTTTCAGAAGGGCAAGGAGAGAGGTCAGGGTCTGGAAATGCCTGGCTGGGTATCTCAGCTATTGCCTCCTCCTCCAACACACACAGCACACCAGGGGCTCCCTTTTGGGCTGTGCAATGTGCCCAGAGGCCTTAAAACCCATTTCCGCATGGAGCTTCTTGTGGACTGGTAAACAAAAGCATGCTGCGGCAGCGACATCTGTGAGCACGAGGTGAACTGACCCACCAACAGAAAACTAAGATCAAGCAAAGCACACTCAGTGCAAGCTGCACAAGATGCATTCTCTAGAAAACACTGGCTCATATGAGCTGGGACTGAGAGCCGAAGTCAGACACCTAGTGACTGTGCCGTCCCCAAGGCCCTGCTCTGGCCTTCTCTGTGGGGGACAGCCTCCTCCTATGGTCATTTCAGAAGTCCCACGGCTAAGATGGTCCAGAGCCTGACACTCCCCATCTCTCCCTAAGGCTGATCCTCAGGCTCAGTCCTAGGTGTTGCTTCCTGTTGCTTTCTGTCCCTCCACATACTGTCTGTCCAGAAGGCACTGTTGTGACCTAGTGCCCATGTCAGGGTGTTCAGGAGGAAGGGTGGGTAAGTGACTGATGGTCACATTCTTATCACCAGCACTGCCTAAGCCTCATCCAGCCCTTGTAGGCCCTGCCCGAGCCCTATGTCCTCAGCTCATGGTTAATCCTTCCAGGTTCTACTCTGTACCCAGTGGACACTCGTGGCCCTCTATGCTCTAGTTCCCACAGTGAGACAAGGTCACTGGGCAGACTCATCTGGGCCCCACCACAAAGAGCCACTAAGACTGCACTCACCTGCCACCCGCTGCTGCTGCTCCTGGGCCTTTTCAGCATCTGCCCGGAGGCTGGCATGGCTCGTCTGTGCCCGGCACAGCTCCTGGGTGACCTCCTCAAGGCGCTTCTGCAGAGCCTCTTCACTCTCTTTATGAGATGCCTGAGGAGGTACAGAGGGAAGAGGGCTGTGAGAAGCAGAAGAAGAGGCCTAGCTCCTGTAAGCTTGGAAGCTGAAGAGAGAGAACAAAGCTCTTTACATGGCTCTCCTATTCACTGTGGTCTCTGGATGGAGGGCCACTGACATGGTTCAGCAGGTAAAGGTGCTTGCCTCCAAGCATGATCATCTGCAGTTAGTTTTGGGAGCCACACGATAGGAGAGAATGACAGGACAGAGTAAGTCTTTCTAGATAATGGAGCCTGGATACATCCTCCCCAGCTAGCAGCCCTTCAGTGAGGACAACTGCTAGAGGAGAGCCCTTCTCTTGGGAGCTAGCTTCCCCATGGTGTCAGGTCTCTCCTGTGAAGCGGCCGGACACAAACAGGCACACACTTAAGGCATACGGCACTTCCAGCTCTTTCCCTTAGAAGTTCAGCCAAATAAAACTCAGTGTTCAGCCATGTCTAATCCATTTTTAGTCTGTATCCCAAAGACTTCCATGTCAATACAGACAGGGCCACCTCACCCTTGTTCAGAGCCATACAACTTTGATGTGCCTGATGTTCTCTGTTTTCCACTCAGTGGCAGAAAGGCCTTTCTCTGGTGATCTCACTCAATCCTCCTCAGGCCATCTGTCAATCATTTTCATACACCAGGCTCCTAGGGAAGGAGTACTGACAGGCCGAATCCTACAAACGGCCAGATAGATCTTTGCAGAACCCAAGTCTGTCTGGGGCACGGGTGGGTGAGGGGCCAGTCAACAAATAACTCTAGTTAGCTAAAGTGGTATTCCAAGTCATGCCTCAACCTTTTGAGGGGCTGACAGAATTGAAAACACCACTTTCCTTCTCTTCTAGGGCACAGGGTGTCTGCACAGGGTGGTTCTAGGCCAACCACTTCAGTAAGAGCCACAGAGACAGGGCTGACTGCTGTGGGATAATGCTCTTGTACACTGTAAAGATCTGTCACTCCTGTTGGCTTAATAAAATGCTGATTGGCCAGTAGCCAGGTAGGAAGTGCAGGCGACTAGGAAAATTCTGGGAAGAGGAAGGGCATCACCAGCCAGATGCAGAGGAAGCAAGATGAGAATGTCACACTGAGAAAAGGTACCAAGCCACATGGCTAAACACAGACCAGAATTATGGGCTATTTAAATGTAAGAGCTACTTAGTTACAAGCCTGAGTAATAGGCCAAAGAGTTTATAATTAATATAAGCCTCTGTGTATTATCTGGAACTGAACGGCTGTGGGACCAGGCGGGACGGAAACGTCCCTCTGTAGTTGAATGCAGTGATAGGGCAGCCCTTACTAAGGATGTGCCCCTTCAGCTAGAGAAAAGTGTGCACTATCCAGGGGGAAGTTGGCGTGGCTTTAGGGTAGGTAATGTTTTCTCTGGCTCAGCTCCAAGTAAAGGCACAAAAGCAGCGCCTCCTAGTGAGCAGGCCTGCTTCTCCTCTGCCCTTCCGTCACAGCAGGAGCCTGCTAGCCTACCTGGGCTCTGCTATCCTCACTGCTGTGTCGGTCCTGACAGGAACAGGACAGAGATGTCACCTGTGCAAGAAGACCACAGCCCGTCTATGTCTCTCTTTTCATTAAAGAGGAGAACCAATCCCGACTGCAGGGAGACTGCATGTTTTTCTTCTTGTGGCCAGCATTAACTACAGTACTCATTTCAACAAGCAATCACAGGAAATCCATTCATCTACAGAAATCAAAAACTTTAAAACTTTAACAGAAGGCACACATATACATCTTAGACATCAAGTCTTTTAGCCCGGAAGAAGGTGGTCAACACAGCCAATCACATCAAAGAATCCCAAAGGCTAGTCCTATGCTAGGCCAACTGGCTATGAACTCCCATAAACACTGCTGGGACTTTAAACTTCAGTCCAACCTGGGACAAGGAGCCAGGACAGGTACCATTAATGCCCTCAAAAAACATTTTACACTTCCTTTCTGCCAAGCCTGAGAGATGGCTCTGGGGTCAGGGTTAGGGCCACCTCCTGATGTCCATGCTCTGGGAACCAACCCAGTAGGCCTCCCCTGCCTGCCCTGGGCCCTGAACAGCTAGCTGACTCACAGTGAAGGAGCAGCAGGCGAAGGAAGCACAGAATGGAAAGAGCCCTTTCCTTCCGGTCATCCTCAAAGTCACACTGCCCAACAGGTGCTACTCTCAGGCCCAGGAACAGAGAGGAGCAAGGCTCAGTTCTGACTGCCTCAGCCTAGGCCAATCTGTCTTCACACAAGCTATTAGGAGCATCAGAAGCCATAAGGCCTGGAGGCTGACTCAAGCCCTGTGGGTGTTACCCAGCATGCTATGCGGACAACCTCCCTCCCTCTTTCTGAAAGAGACTAGGCATCCTTGGGAAACAGCTTCCAAGCCACAGCATCTCCAGCCAGTTAGCTCACTGGCCACTCCAGAGCTGCAGGAGCCGGACTCAGATCCAGATTCTGACTCTGCGATGTCCTGGCCATGTAAACTTTGGGTAGTTGTTTCACTTCTCTGGGTCACAAGCATCCCTGTGAGTAAATGGCAGATGCCAACAACAGTTCCTACCTCATAGGGTAGGTTACAACATTAGCTGAGCTAACTGATACTAAGCACTTACACTGATGCTTAGCACACCGCATTTACTGTACACTACGGCTCTTAACAAGGCAAAGGTCAAGGGTTAAGCCCTAAACACTGACTACGTCTCTAGCTGTTCGTTCTAACTGGAAAGGGATGACTCAGTATGACCAGGCACTGTTCCTGCTATTCAGTCAGGTTTGGTGGGCAGTGACTAGATGCTGAGGTGGCTACCACTGCTACTCACCTGCAATTGTAGGAGCTGCTTCTCAAAGGTGGCTGCCTTGGCTTCCAGAGCTTTCCGCTGTTGCTCCTCCTGCCGGGAGGCCTCCGACTTTTCCACTAGCTCCTTGCTGACCTTGCTAAGCTCCTGTCGGAGCTTTGCCAGTTCTGTGTTCTGCCTGCAAGACAGTCCCCAGCCCCAGTTGAGGAAGGTGATAGAGACTGGCAGCTGGTCCCTCCTTCAGGCTTATCTGCCCTTTACTATTTTAGTGCCCAAGTCTTAGGGCCATATCTAAGAGTCTTTTGCATGTCAACCATGTGGCTTTTGGTGTGGGTTTTACTGAAAATGGGTTGCCAATATAGTATGTGGACCAAAGAGAGCAAAAGGCCTCTCCCAGACACCACTGGAAACTCAGACAGGTGCAAGGCACCTCCCCTGACCCCTGCAGTGCTGGGCAGCAGTCCACAAACTCCGTGAGTCTCACTTCACTGGCAGAGGAGACAATGGCCAGGCTAGAAGAGTGCCTCCTGAAGACACTGATGGCACTTGTCCTGGCTCCTTGTTCCAGAAGATGACCAGGGAGGTCACTCAAAGCTAGAGATCAAGGCACTTACAACGAAGTGCCTTCAGTTTGGCACTTTAAAGTGGGTCTCAGGCCTTAAGAACATTCTGGAATTTCAGGAAACTTACTGAAAGGAAAGTTTGAGACTAATCAAATGTCTACCTCTATCACTAGCACAGAGAAAGCATAAGACAAGACAAGGGGACAGACAGAAGTGTAAAACCTGGCTGAGAGCTGCTGTGCTCCATTGACAGATGGGGTCCCTCCTCTCTGACTCAGGGTTTCCTAACTGTACCAGCGACTAGACGACAGAGCCTTTAGCTCAAGCACCGTACAGTGCAGAAATCCAAGTGACCTGGAAAGGGTGCTGTGGCACCTTCCTGGGACCGCTTAGGACTTGGAGATGGAGATAGTGTTGGTAAAAGCCACTTGGCTGCTGTGCGCACCCTCTACTGGGGGAGTTTCTGGACTGAGGGGAGGCAGCAGCTGCCAATTCCCCAAACTTCAGAACTTCCTCCAGAAAGTGACAGCAGATTCCACATGACAGACAATGCCAGAGTTCCTCAGCCCCCAAGCCCTCCCAGTGGAGGACTGGGACCACAGCAGGTCCTTGTAATACCTATACTCTCTTCTAGAACAAATCTGGCTTCAATACTGTGACAACCCCCTCTCCATACCATGTATGCCAGCAAGGATGCATGGCAGGTTGGCACTCATCGGCTCTGAGACATCAATGACGTGAGGGGCTCTGGGCCAGCTGCCCAAAGACTCAACTGCTCAGAACCCACATAGATGCTGGATGGGGGGCAAGTGGAAACAACAGGCCCACATCCAGAAAGACACTAGACTGTATCTGCTATAGCCCACAATACACCCACTAAATGCACCCATGTCCTAAGCCCTAGGGATCATGGTACCACGGTTTCTACATGGGACCCTCAACTTACTTGCTTTCCACCTGGCTGGTAGCCTGGTTCAGGGCATCCCTCAAGATGGAGTTCTCCTGCTGTAGGCGGGCCAGCTGGGTGTTGGGGCCATTCTCCAGCTGCTCCTGAAGTGTGCGGATCTGAAAAGTTACCGACAAGAACATCAGCCACACACAGAAAGCTGATGCTGGCCCAGTTTGGTCACACAGCTCAGAGTGGAAGGCTGGAGGCTACATCTGCTCCAAGGAGTGTGCATTAAGCAAGGGGCCCAAGCATGGAGCCACTCTAGTGTCAGAGTCTCAGGGACAAGTAAGTGTGGGCCTCCTGCACCATCACCCATAACACATCTCTTCTCTCTACCCAATGCCACAGATGTATGTACATGGACCTGAGGTCACACAGGTGTACTATTGAGAGAAAAAAAAAGCACATGGCCACAAAGTACAACTACCTCAAGGAGGGCTCATCTCCTGCCTTCTGAACCCACATGGGAGACATGGGAGACATGCAGCAGGGAGGCAGTCATGACCAGAGTGAGCCAAGCATAGGTTTCAGAAGATGAATGTTAGGCTCTGACACTGAGGGCCAGTCTAGACAGGGAGTCACCAGTGCTGGTCTCCAGACCCAGGTAAAGGGATGTTCAGGTCTCCTCCTTTATGGGATCCTCCCAACCACACAGAGTAGAATCAGCATCACTCCAGCCTCGCCTGAAAGCCTGATCCTCAGGCACCACCTGATGCAAGGCTCTTTTGAAAAGGTGCTCCTTAAAATATATGTTAAACCTTCCTGGTTATTAAGCTCAGACACGTACAAGAGCATCCAGCCAATTCAAGCTCAGCAGACTTCCTCAGCCGCCACTCACTCCCTGTGCCCCCACCTCACCCGGCCCTCTCCTTCCCTGCGCCTACCTTGCCCTGCAGCTGTTGCACCTCCTTCATATGGTCCCGGTAGCTGGCCTGCATCCGTGCCTGCACAGCTGCCATCTCCTGCTCCCGGGCTACCAACTGCTTCTTCACCTTGGCCTCCCCAGCTGCAGCTTTGGCCTTCTCTGAAGCCATCTCCTAAGAAGAAACGGCGGGTGGGAGTGAGAGAGCTGACCAGGCAGGCAGAGACAGGGCCAGAGTGTTTTCCTGAAAAGCACTGGAAGGGCAATGTTTTAAATGGAGTTTGGTTCTGTCTAGCCTGGAAGATGAGTATTGTCACCAGCACCCATTGGTGCTCTGTTGCCACATTTTTTTTTGGGACCTGGCGCCATTCCATAGGCTTAGTGAGCCCCTGCATAGACTTGCAGGTTGTCCACAGACTTTCCGCCAGATAGAGGCTGGACCCGTACTACCTCCCATCCCAGCTCAGTACCCAGTAGTGTCTGGCTGGTGTATGAAGGCCTTGGGCTCCTCAGCTGAGCAAAGCCCTATCTTACAAGGCCTCATGCTCCGGCACTGGAGTGGACACACAATGGTCTAGTCCAGAGTGTGGTACCTGGCAAGACAACAGCTGGAACGGTTTTCCAGAAAGTTTTGCCTTCCTTGGCGTGGAGTCTTGAAAGCCTCACCTGAGCCCTGAACATTTAAAAGGGCTAGGGATGGAGCTCCCAAGAATACCCAAGCCCATAAGCGCCTTTAGACACTGCTCACACTGGTCATGGGCCCAACTCTGTCAGGACCTTCCACATGAGAGTAGCCGACTGCAGATAACTAGCATTCTCAGTACATCCAGGCCAGGCCTTCTGGCATGACTCCAAGAAAGATCACTAAGCAAGACCCCTTTTCCAAGTATAAAAATGTCCCTATATGAATAAATGAAATGTGGAAGGGACTGAACGTGAAACACAGAGCCTATGACTCTCACTGGCTCCTGTGAGAATTAAGGTAAGTAAGGAGAACTTCCATATGCTCAGTAACATTTTCTCATATAATTTCTCATTGGTTGGGGCTAGGAGATATAACACAAGAATGACATAAACATTCTGGCTCTGTTGAAATTGTCCACAATTTCAAGGGCATAAGGAAGATTAAGGCAGACAAAATGATAAATATCTAACTATTTACAAAGGGAAGATACAAGTACCAACAAAAGCTCCTCCCTCAGCTGCAAGCCAGCTGAGGACCTCAGTGGCCACTTGCTCACAAACAGCCTGCTAGGCTGGACCAAGCACGGTCAGAGTGTTTGCTCTACAAGGCTCACAGTCTGCCAAATGCAGGTCTGTGGCAATTATAATGATCACCTCCATGTGAGAATTCCATTAAGATTTCTGGGAACCGAGCCGGGCGTGGTGGCGCACGCCTTTAATCCCAGCACTTGGGAGGCAGAGGCAGGCGGATCTCTGTGAGTTCGAGGCCAGCCTGGGCTACCAAGTGAGCTCCAGGAAAGGCGCAAAGCTACACAGAGAAACCCTGTCTTGAAAAAAACCAAAAAAAGATTTCTGGGAACCAAAGAGGGCTGGGAACCAAAGTCATACGGGATATTAAGAAAATGTGCAACCCACCAGGGAAGTAGAGGAGCCCCTCAGAGGAGGCAAGAAAGAGTAGGGTATACTGGGAACAGGCAGCCATCCAGAGAAGAGGGGAAGGTCAGATGCAGAGGGCTACTTCTCAGGGTGCAGACTTGGAGATGGAGACTAGGAGCTAGTGCCAAAGCATGAAAGAGGTTTAAACAGAGATCAGCCCTGGGTCTCCTGAGCTTAGAGGAAACCGGATGCAGTTAGGAGACAGAGGATCACAGCTGGACATTGGCATTAAATCTGGATCAGAGCCAAGGCCCAAACTCTGGAAGATGAGGTAGGTAACAAAAATCAAGGCTTCTGGACCTGCAGCCCACACCAAGAACAGATTCTACTGCCTCAGCCAAAGGAGGATGGGACATGAATCTAGACCTAATGAATCTGTCTGGAAATCAGGTGCTACTGTGGTTTTTGAAACCATATCACACAGCCACCTCTGAGGGAGAGCGTGGACACGGAGTGGCCAGCACAGAGGTAAGGTCTAAGAGGCCTTACTTCCTTCATACCTGCCATCCTGTCCTTGGTGAATGTGATTTCAGAATGGGAAAGAGCCCATTCTATCAGAGGTTGCAACCTCCTCATCCATCCTGCCTTAAGCCCTTTCTAAATTAAAGGGCACAGACACAGCTAACTAGCCAAGCAGCACCCAGGCCGCCAGAGGGGCCACCACTGCTGCAGCCTCTGGTCGGTGACTTGGGGAGTCAGCAGGTTCCCATCGGGACTTCTGTCTATTTACAAAGAGGGTATCGGGGCGGGTGGTTTTGTTCTGTTTTGCTATCAAGTTGACATACTCTGGAGTCATCTGAAGACTGTCAGTTATGCTGCCCCTGGACAAGGAGTCCTGAGCAAGCCTCCATGGCTTTCACTTCAGTTCCTGTCTTGAGTTCCTAGCCTGACTTCCCTCAGGGATGGAGTGTGAATTCAGAGTTCTAACATGAAATAAATCCTTTCCTCCTGAGTTGGTCATGGTGTTTAATTAGAGCAATAGAAACTCTAACTAAGGCAGAAGGTACAGAAGAATAGCTCCCCAGAACGGTGGACTCTGATCCAGATGGTATGCTAGTCATGTGACCTGCGAAGTGGGAGGGCTCTGCCAAACTCCCTGGTATAAACAAACTCACCCTTACTGCAGCCTAGGCCGAAACCCTAACATGAAGTGTGCACAGAATGAGGAGGAGACGGTGCATGCAGCTGTGCTAAGCCAGGACAAGTAGTTAAAGGCTGCATTTCCAGTAATCCCGGACAGCTCAAGGAAAGGCCATGTGGTGACACCTTGGGAGGTAGGAAAGAAGGCCACTGAACCCTAGGAGAGGTCCCTGGTGGGTGACTAGCTTGTTTCTCAACCAACTTTTCTGTCTAGCTCAGAGGGGCAACCACTGAATTGAGGACAAAGTCAATCTGCCTCATGTCTAGTTTGCCTCAAGTAACCAGATGGGAGTACCTAAGGGAAGGGCTATGTCTAAGATAGTGCCAGGTATTTATTGACCCAGGCCATCTCCCTGAGTCTGCTGCCTGGGACAGAGAAGGCAGAACCCAGGGAGAGGGCAAGAAAAAACCCACAGCATCTGGCCCAAGAGACAACTTTCTAACTTAAAGGATACCAGGCCCATGAAGACTCCCCTTCCCCTCCCCTCCATATCTTCTTGGGATGCTCTGACACCCACCTCTCGGAAGCAGAGAGGCAAGGGAGAGGCTTCAATTAGTTCAGCAGTGAATGACTGACTATCCATGCCTGGGGACCTGGCATAGCCTGAACAATGCCCAAGCCTGCCTCATAACCACCTGCCATTCAGAGTCAAAACCTTCCAGCCAGCCACAGGTAGCCAAGAACTCCTCTGTATACCACTCCACTGATGTCAGAAACAAGGAGGAAAAGCAACCTCTGCCCCAGTTCTCACGACAACCACCCTGGATTAAGTGTGCACCTCCTCCTTCCTAAGTGCACTCAACTCAATGGATGACTTGTCACCCTAGGAACCACCACAATCTGAGGTCCTTCCTGGTCTCTGCTGAGCTGCAGGTATTCTTAGACCACATGGGAGGGATCCCCAATACCATACCTGGGTGGACAGCACAGAATCTCTAGTCAAAATATTCTTGGCTTAGTAAGAGCCATATGCTAGGCAGACAAGCCTAGCCTGTCAAAGCCACCTGTCCTGATGACCAAGGGCAGCTGTGGCCCTGGGGCAGGGGGTCCTCAGAGAACAGAGAGAGGAGGGGCTGCCTCACTTCTGAGTTTAGACAGTACCTTGTTAAGTTCCCTTAGTTTGCTCTTGGCAACAGCTGCATCTTCTTGCTCTGTAGCTAGTAGCTTTTCTTTCTCTTCTAGCTGGCGTTTCAGAATTGCTACAGGGTCACCCTTCTGAGTGGCCTAAAAATGTTGACAAAGCCATGTTAAAGGAGAACAGAAAGATACATAGTTCCCCCCACTCTGGCAGTAAAATAAGAGAACCGCAGGTAGGTAGCATGGTCTTCAAGGTAAGTGGCTCCATCTGACTCTAGACACCGCCATGGGAACTGACGGTCCTGCTAAGCTACCCAGCCTTCAGGAACTCCCAGACCTTGTGTACATGGGCGCTTGGGGTAGTTTTCATAAGCATGGTATTTCCAGCCTTAAAGACAGTACATGCAGGCTGCAGGCCACTGGCTGCAGTGTGGGAGCTAGAACAGGAAACTTGTACTCTAAGGACACGGTCTGAGGTAAGCTAGGACTCCAGCTACTTTGACCTCCAACACTTATGTCCAGGAAACACCCCCAGTGCTTACTTGCTAAGGAGCTCCCAGAATCAGGGAGAATATACAGAGCATGTCATCCCCAAGTGACAGCCAGGAAAGGACTATCCCCAATATCTCCAGCCACTGAACTGACCAGCAAAGTTACATCCTAACTAGTCAAGGAACAAACCCTCGCATACCTCACTTCCTAGAACAGTTCACTGGCCAGGGGCACTAGAGAGTAGAAAGCAGTCTTTGAACTTGCCCTTATAGCACAAGGGGCATGTCACAGGGCTCTGTCACACACTGTGTCCAGATTTCTTTCCTTGTACTTTGGCCCAAGCCAGCTGGGCCAGATCCCATGTTCTAAGCCCAGAGGCACATGCAACCCCAAGGCCCTGCTCTGCCTTCTGGGCGGGCAAGCAGGGCAGATCACGGACAGCTGACCCAGGCGGCCTGAGCACAGGCAACAATGGCAGGATTCTCTAGAAGTGGAAACTGTTGCAGGGCCATTCTCTTTGCAGTTTGTCAAGCTGGGCATGGCTTGTCAAGCTGGGCAGAGGCAGGACTGAGTCAGATGCTGATCTCTGGGGGAAAGGTACGCATGCCAGCCCTGCAGTGGCCTACCTTATGCCAAGTGTCCTGAGTAACTCCAGTCTTCTCAGACAGAATCTCAATAAGCCGCTGGGCCTCGCCTTCACTGAACACCATGCTTCCAACTGTGGAGACCAGTGTCTTGTAGGGCAGGAAGAGGGGGCTGTCGCAGTCTGAGGGTCCTGAAGGGGGAAGGAGCAGGGGCTTACATTCTACCCCAAAACAGGGGGTATACAACAATGTCCATCAAAAGGTGGCCCTGGTCAGAGGCAAGCAGAACTGTTCCACACCTCAGAACAGCAGGCTGGTACAGTGGGCTTTTTTTTATAAATGATGGGGCCACATCCCCAAAGAGTCTCAGCCAAGGCTAAGAGAAACATCCTCATTTTCTCTTGGTAATAGGGATCAAAGGCACAGCTCAGTCCATGCTAAGCAGGCACTCTGCCATTGGGCTACAGACAGCCTTCGTCCTTTCTTCCTCCTCCTTTTTAAATCAAGACAAAGCTGTGCAGGGAGGGAGGAGTTTTGTTGACAGAGCTGATCACACACAAAGCCCTGGTTCAAGCTTTGGCGCTGCACAACCCAAGGATGCTCCAGAGAGGAAGGCAGCAAGGCCAAGGTCATACTCTACTCTATAGGGAAGCTGAGGCCTATCTGAGCTAAATTAGACCATGCCTCAAAATAAACAAACAGCAAAAATGATGGGCAAAACTATGCACAGATTTTCCTCAGAGGTTCTTTCTCTTTCTTCTTTTTCTAGTGAAACATTTTGGTTCTTCTCACCTTCCATGTCTCAGTGAGGTTCCTTTTTCTACCTCAGCATCTCCATGGGCACTGACTGCCGGTGACCTTTCACTAACTCCAGTGAGCAGAACCACACACGCAAAGCCTTGGGAAAGGTTGGAGGGTACTAGGAGTCTGCTCCCCACACTCAGGGACAAGCACTCTAGCTCCAGTCTCCCTGGATGGAGCTTAAGTAGTGACTGGCTTTAGGAGCCGAATGGCTAGGCCAGGTGTCCCAGAATGAGCCTGTCCACTCCCTAGGTACAGACCACTTGCTCACCACCATCACTGTCAAAAACAAACAAAACCCCCTAAACGTCCCCACCCCCAGTCTCTGTTGATACTCATGCTGCTTTGCAGGCAAGAAATGAGTGAACTGAGATAGATGACCTGAAATGCCTGGGGAATTCCTTTGGCTGATAGCTAAATTTGCCCCACAGTTGAAACAGAAGGCCAAATGCACTAAAACAGACAGACGGGCCTGCAATGGCAAATTCAGCTAAGCCTACCTTTCGAGGACAAGGAATGGGGAGGGTTTCTACAGCAACCTTGAATTCTGACTTGTCACAATAGTTTTACTTCGTAGTCACAATATTTTTATTACAAGTGGAAGCACTCAGCGTGATACCGTAATAAGGGGAAGGTGGGATGTGGGCGAGCTGGTTGCTACGAGCACCTTATTTTATAACTTCTTACCTTGGGAAAGCTCAGTAGATTTAAAAATAACCACATGAGCATTAAAGACCTAAGAGCTTATATTACCAAGAAAAGGGAAGAGTATGTGTGTAGGCACCCCCTGAATTTCATTGAAATATGTACGCACACACAACTAATAGTGGACTTATTTATACATACCAAAACAAATATAATCCTGAGTGCTACAGAGCCAAAATAAAACAAAACACCCCACGAGCTCACTCTTAGGACACATTTTTCTGTTGTTGGCTTTCCCATGCACCCCCAACCTTGGGAGGCTATTCACTGCCCAGGGTTTAAAAGACACAGGCGAGGCATGTTGGCCTCTTAAGCGTATATGCAGCTGAAGGCTGTAGAGACATTTCCTTTCCCGATTCAGAACGGTCCAGACACAATGTTCCCTGAGAACTTGTATGTGACTCCTGCAACCTGTGATGTACTTCAAGCAAAAAGTTTACACGGAGTTTCAAAAACTCAGTGTAGACAAGAACGACATACTGGATGCAAATTGAGAGAATAAGAACTTTAGATAAATTGAATGAAGTATGCTGTTAAAATGTAGCATGAATCTTAAAAGGTCTTATTAATAAGAACAAACCCGGAACAAGGTATTGGGGTAAACGCTGAATGATCAGAGAAGCCACATCCAACCTCACCTTGCCAATTCCTCAGCTAATCTTGTTTCCTCAGACTGAAAGCCTCTGAATCCTCATCCAAATGGATCTCAGCTGAACTGCTGCTAAAAGCTAAAAGCTTAAAAAGGCTCTAGTTCCTTGTCCTCACGCCTTATGTACCTTTCTGCTTCCTGCCATCACTTCCTGGGATTAAAAGCATGTCACCATGCCTGGATGCTTCCAGTGTGGCTTTGAACAGATCTCTGCCTTCAGAATGCTAGGATTAAAGGCATGTGCTACCACTGCCTAACCTCTATGTTTAATATAGTGGCTGTTCTGTTCTCTGACCCCCAGATAAGTTTTTTTGGGGTGCACAGTATATCAACCACATTAAAATTCATTCCAACCATTTCTTCTTGACCTATTTCAGTATATCAACCACATTAAAATTCATTCCAACCATTTCTTCTTGACCTATTTTAATGTGGCTAGCCAGGACTATTAAATTACCAATGTGGTTCACACACACCATATTCCTCTTGGACTGGCTGTTCTATGCTCTTCCAGCCCCATGGACTCCAAAATGCTCCTTGCCAAAATTCTTAGAAGGCCCTATCCTCAAGAAGTCCGTGAGTGGTTGAAATCTCTAACCTCTCTTGAATTCTCCACCAGGAGACATTCTTCTAATGGAGCATGTCGGTGTATGCCTGGAATTCTAGCACTTAAGAGGTAGAGAACAAGAGTTTTTAAGGCTAGCCTGAGCTACATGAGACCCTGTCTCAAAGGAGGAGGGGGGAGGAAGAAAAACTCAAATAAAGACACTGCCCTTTAGGCCCTATCCCTTGAACCCTACCCTTTACCGAGGGAGTGAAACATCTATCACTGCTGGAGGAGGCCTTGCTACTACTGAACATCATCTTGGGTATAGGCATCAGCTGTGGGATGTTTCAAGATGCTTCCAGCACTGTCTAAAAGCTCCTTCCTAGGTTCAGAGGGTTTATGAGGGTATTCTTTGAAAGTGACACTCTGGACTTGATATCCAGACTGCTCACATCCTCCTTCAGGGTCTCGCCTCATAAGCAGTATTCACCCCTCATCAAGGAAACTTCTCCTTGCAACAAATAGAGACCATTACAAAAAAACCTCAAACAATCAAAATGCAGAGCTATGGAGCTCAGTCCCAATGGACACCTCCACAAAGCACCTAAGACTCAGAGAACATGGTAGAAGAAGGGGCAAGAAGACTGTAAAAGCCAGAAGAGTTTGCTGTGGGTGAGATTCTGTCTACCCGTAATGTCAGAAGCTACACCCATAAAGTCTCACTACATGACTGCCCAAATGTAAGCTGAACAAGGACTACATCAATGGCCCTGCCAAAACAGCTGGGGGGAAGCCCATAAGGGCTCAACCCTACCCAAAGAAGGTACAGACAACTGAGGAAAGTTGGGAGCAGGATGTGGCCTTCCCTGGGGAAAGAGGACACAAATTGGTTGTCATCCCTGAAAACATATACATACGAGGAATTTTATATAGATGAGTAGGTTACATTTAGAAATTTTTTATATATGGATATATATAAATACATATATGCATGCAATATCAATTAATGAGAAAAAAAGGCCGTGAATTTGAAGGAGAGCAGGGAGGGGTATATGGGAGAGTTTGGAGGAAGAAAAGGGAAGGGAGAAATGTTTTAATTATATTATAATCACTAAGATTAAAAAAAAAAAGAAAATGAAAGTATTTTAAATATAATAAAAAAAAACAAAATGAAATCATCTTGAAGACATCTTTCTGATAAGTTTTTTTAAGTAGCATTCTAATGAATCCTTATTAAAACTTCCTAGGGTAACTATGAAATTTTGTTAAACATTTCCATTAGAAGTAAACAGTTGTAACAAGTCAAACAATCCAAAGCAGTGTAAAGTAAAATGGAGCCTTCTCTGCCTATCCCCCTTCTCCATTCACAGAAACTTCCACAGCCTTCTCCATATATACACCCTCCTTTACATTATTTTTAGAGAGTTATAACTTCACAAAACATTTTTCATTGAATCTTTTAGTTCTATTTAAAAGGAAAAAAAAGGCAGCACCTCCATTGTCTCTGAATTGGAGTCAGTAAAACTGACACACAAAAGGGGGGATCCTGGATGAGTCACATCCACACAACATGCCCACAGGAGCCCAGCACCCCGCTCACAGCACTCAATCTACTCATGCCTCTAGCAAATGCTTGAAGATTCTCCTAATCCTTGGTATTGTGAAATCTTAAGCTATTAGAATAAACCTGCCAAAGACTCCATATCTACTCCATTAACCACAGGCTTTAGAAAGAGCAAGGGGTCAGGGAATTTCAGAAGAGGTCAGCTCCCTGGATGGCTACTCTGGCAGCCTGGGTCTGGAGAGGAATGAGGCAGATGGACAGACAGCAAAGAGCAGCTACTCCGGGTTGGCATCAACCGGAGACACAGCAACCTCCACATGAGCCAGGTCCTTCAGGAATGCCGCAAACTGCATAGACCAGGATAGGCCTGTTCTGCATAGAGGGGCCTGAGGCACAGGGCTCCACTCCACGTAACAGCTTACACGGGGAAGTCAGTCCAGAACTCTTACAGCTGCAGACTCAGAGACTGGGCTGGCAGTGCTGACAGCTAACTCCCTAACAAATGAATAAAGCCACCAAGGGGCTAAACAAATATATGCAGGCCAGGGCCAGCCTACAGGTCACCCCTGGCCTTGGTTATATATAGTGCAGCATCTAGAGGGTCCAATGGCCCAGGCAAAAATGTCAATTTCCAACTCAGCTCCTTTCATCTGTGTCCTTGGACTTACCTACCTCCTGCCTTTGTTTCCTTGTCTGTAGAGTCAGTATTAACTGTTCCTCCCTCCCGGCCTGGCTGCAAAGAGACTGACTTCCAATGTGCTTGGAACGAAGCACAGGGAAAGCACTGAAAACCAACCCCAGGGCCAACTTTGGAGGCCCAACCATTAAGAGCCCTCCTTGGACAACTGTCCCTTCCCAGCCCAACAGTGAAGAAGTCAGGCAAGAGGCAGGCTCTGAGGATGGACTCTCTGAGGCCAAGGCTGAC